GGCCTGTGAATGGCCCACAACGGAGAGGGGTTTTTTTCCTCCATGTTTCCTTCTCCCAGTCCCAAACTACAAAGCTCCATTAGGTATGTAATCCTCATTTATAATATGATTATGAACCTTCTTTATTAAATTAATTCTAGCGTATCACTGTCATTAAATATATCTTTCAAGAAGTTACCAATACAAGGATACAACTGGAAGGACAAATAAATAACTTACCGCCTGCACTGCATCTCCCCAACCACCTGTCTAGTCTGGTATCATGCTAACAGCAAAAGCTTTGACAAAAAGAGTCACTCAGCAGGGCGATACCAGCCCCTGTAACCTCCCAGCCTCTCGCAGTTCATGGTCTTCCCAAGCACAAGGCAATGCCTTTATGTTTCATAATACTTAGCAAATTTTTCTTTCATGTTTTCCTAATTGTTTTTAAACCAGTGTAGAAATTGACAATCCACACTGTCCCCTGGCACAGCACTCCACTGCTTAACAGCTTGGTGATAAAGATCACCCTCTCCTTTCCTTTGCAGCCACTTGCTCTTCTGGTTTTTATATCAGAAGAGACAGTCACTGTGGTCCCCTTTCACTTTCTCCACACTGGCCATGACTTTAGAGCCCTGCTACACTCCCCTTGAGCTTCTCTTTTTTCTAGCATGAAGAGGTCCATGCTATGCAGCTCGTCTTTGTGTAGAAGATGTTCCTTAACTCTATCATAATTGTTGTCTCCAATTGCTTCTGATGGTTTTACGATATCCTGTTCTGAGATGGGAACACCAAAATGCCACACAGTATTCAAGACATAGATGCATTATGGATTTATAGTGGCATACTTCGTTGTTGTTGTTGTTTGGTCTTTATTCCATTTTCAAAAAATTAAGTTTCTGTTTCTTTTTTGATACCTATTGAACACTGGATTGATGCTCAACTGTTGTTTTCATAAATTATATATTTTTAAACCTAAGATCTCATTCCTAAGTGGCAATAGTCAATTCAGAGCCTGTTCTAAGTTAGGGTGTTCTCCCCTTATTTGCAACATTTATCTATATTGAATTTCATCTGCCATTTTATTGACTAGCCATTACCATATTGCTACTAGGTGTAGTTCTTCTGCAACCCTTACAATAGATAGCCCTCCTCTTTACTACTTTGATTAACTGCGATGGCTAAACAGTTATAGTTTGCTATTTGCTAAGCAAAATAATTAACAAATACATTGAAAGCACAATCCCTAATATCTCTGGCATCACATCTTTTTAAGCATTAATGTGGCTTTCCATAGATTTGTATAGTTATATTTGTCTTCAGCACATACATGGTTGTTAATTACCTCTTTCATGTGGTTCTGCTGCAGAAAATTTTGCAATGAATCCACTTCCAGCAGTATTAGCATCTGAAGTCATCTGCACCAACATTTTATTGCTGTTGGATACGAGGGCACCTGGTTTCACAGTACCACAGAACCTGCCAATGCGTTGTCCATTGGCATGGCCGTTGTATATATCCACAAAATCATATCGGCACAAGTTGTCACTTTCCAGGTCTAAATATCTAAAAGAAAGAACCACCACTTTTCCTTCTGGGACCTGCAGGGAGAGAGGAAGGGAGGGAGGGAGAGATGTATCTTGAAATGCAACTGACCACATATCTATCTGATCCCACTATTTGCATGAGTATTTTCATATCCTTCACTTCTTGCCAGGTAAGCTCTTTTTGTCAACTACACTCCAGGCAGAGTGGGTTTTAAAATCATACTGATCAATCACAAATAGAAAGCTCTGGCCATCTCTGTTGCCATTATCTTCCTGATCCAGAGTATTGTCTAGCCAGCCAGGCTCATATAGTTGGTTATATGCCATCACCGCCCAGTTCAGCTTGGCATTTTCCTCCTATTTTCTGCTCAAAGTATGCAATCAGCCGTACAGCTCTCTGTCACCAGGTAAGGAGAGGGGGATGAGATTAATATGGTTTAAAAAAAAAAAACAGAACAAGCAATTTACAATTTTTGAGCAAATGAAATGGCCTCTTATCTTGCTGATTTGTGTCATAAAGTTTCATAGTTTGAAGGATTTTTTTATTTACTGACACATGACTTGCATTTAGAAATAAAATTGGAAACTTTATGGCTAATGCTGTACAACCCTAATATTTAGTTATTGGAGTGGGTACATTTAGCTTGAAAGCTGCAGTGAAATAATTATATTTGGGAAGAACATGTAAAACTATAGAGAATTCAAAAGAACCATTAGTGGATGTCCTCAGTATAGAAGAGAGTTTTGTTTTCTGAAACATCTGAGGAAACATAAAACAGGGCAAATCTTCTTACATGTCTGTATCTGTGGACGTTGCGAAAGAGGCAAGCATACCAAGAAGGATGTAAATTAAGAGAGCGTAATAGTTTACAAGGAGGAGAACATTTCCTGTGATAGAGTTGCAAGCTTTTAAAGAGAATAAGCAGCATACTGAGAAGTGAAAACTATTCTAACAAAGCACTTAATGCTATGCATCAGGACAGGAAGAAGGGAAACAGTATTTTAAACTATAGAGGGACCCTAGACAGGCAGAGTGGAATTATCTGCATTCAATTCATAGCCCGGTAGAGTGGTTACCTATTAAAATAATTGCAGATGTTCTATTTTACTGAGACACTGCTATTATTTTCTGCTTTAAATCTATAACACACACTTAATATATCTTCAGTAACTCCATATTTAAGCCATTTTATTTAAAGAGTTCACGAATTTTTTCCTTCCTTAACAGTGATTCATTTTAAAACACCAGTTTGAGATAAACTACAACTAAACTGTACCTATATGAAATTGTCAAACAGTGTTTTAATGCTGTGAGTTTCAACAGTTACAAATGCCTTGTCAGGTATAGATGGAAGTGCTAAGGATGGAAGTGCCCACCTAATCCACAGAAGGTACTAATACAGGCAGCAGCTCTAGATCTAGTGAAAAATGTGCTGTAAATTTGTTAAGGTTACTCATTCACGCAGCAGCTTTTACATCCAGTGCTGATACTGATCCTGCAGCAGGACAGACTTTTGGAAGAGCTGTTTTCAACTGCCTGGGGCCCACGTACACACTGGCTGACCAGCCCCACTGCAGTCCCTGTTGCTGGTTTCAGAGTATTATCCTTCAGGTTCAAAGTTCTCTCAAAAATGCATTCCGTTCCCCCGTGCTGACGTACATCACTACTACTACTACTACATCGAAACCACAAAACCCATCTAATCTTACCCAGAAATTCCAAAGCACAATGACTATGTTTTAGAAAACTTTAAAGCCAGATGTTAGGTTTAAAACTCACATTACTGAAGTGAGCAAGCCCTGTAGCTGAAAATATAGAAGATAAATACAGAAAATAACCCACATGTATCAACATAAGGCCAATACAGACATGTGGTCATATTGTAAGATACTCTGTGAAAGCAGTATGACTCCTTGAATCACTGCTCTCGTAACTAAATCTCTTATTATTGCACTCGTCTTCTAGTCTGAATCACTAAGAAGCACTAAGACATGCCCATTTTAACAGAAAAAGAGCTAGAAGGAATTTGGTATTCCTGTCAGAAGACCTGAACGTTATTTATGGTTATACTACAAACTCTATATGACCAGACAAACCAGCTCAAAAATTCTGGCTGTGAAGTTAGTCAGATAAAGTCAGATTTAGGCAGTTAAAATAAAGCAGCCTTTTTCCCGGCTGTATGTAAAATAACATATGCTCTTTCGAGATGGAACGCTCATTATTCGCAAGTTTGTACAACAGGTACAACAGGATCCAACAGTAATGCTGATGGGTGCTCACTGACAGCTTTGTTCCATGAGCATGTTGAATGAGCGCTGCTCTGCTTGCACCAGCCCCATGGTACTTGGTCCTACCCCCGGGTATTTCAGTCCTACCCCTGGGTATTCCGCTCCCTCGTGCTGCCCCGACTGGGGCAAGGGGAACCAGGACTAACCCACGCTCAAGAGGGAGCAGACGCTGGCAAAGCAGCCAAACTCCGAACTGCCAGCCAACCATTCACCCAGGTCTTGGGTTTTCTGTTTCAAGGCGTAGGCAATTCTGTGCAGTGTTTTATGCTTCCTTCTCTCTCCACCACTGACTACGTTATACTATACTACACTACATTATCTAATCATATTTCATTATAGTTTTTAATCTCTCTAGCTTCTATTAGTTCAGTCTACTTGATCTTGGCCAAGACTGTTCCCCATAGAAGTACTGAGTTGCTAAGTTTTGTTTCATGACAGTTTGTAAGAAAACATGTAAGAAAAACTCAGCCACATTGTCATGAATGTTTAAGAAGGGGCCTACTCCAGATTTTAGTTGTCAGAATAATCCTTGCTCACATTTAGCTGAATTAGGGGAGATGTATCATTTACTTATGAAATGTGTGAACTGGGGCCCTTAATCACAGTCGCTGCTTACTGCCAGTTCTTTATAAAATAATGTCATTGCTTATTAAAATAGTATTTGTCATTATTCACAAAAATAACAAATTTGTTCCAGCATGTTAAAACAATTAAAAGTTTGTGGTCTGACCAGATGACAGGCAAGAGTGCAGGGGATGGTGGTTCCACATTCTGGCAGCAGCCGCTCCAGTTTGCAGCTACTCCCAAGGAATCCCATCCTAAATACAGGCGTCTTGGCAAACCAATACTTTTCTTTCATTTCTACCATTTCCCTTTTATAAATGTTGAAAACTAATGTGCTAAAATCTGCCAGTGTTTATCCTAGGATACTTAAAATATTGCTCCATGAGAAACACAGGGGAGAAAGCAAAGGCCAGGATGACTCAGTATTGTTTACTTTGAGCCACATCCGAGCCTGATGCAGTAAGATGATGGGACACCTCAGAGGAAGAACTGGAAGGAATTTCAGCTCCTAAGGAGAGAAAAGAAAAAAAAAAAAAAAAAAAAAAAAAGAGAGGGAGGAGTCAAAGGAAGACTAAGTGATGCTTCCCCTGCAGGGCGTGCCTTATTTTTCTGTTTTATCCATCTAGTTGGTATCTTTCAAAGACAGAAGCACTTCAGCTTCTGCCTCTCCTTGGCACATTGAGGGCGACCAACCCATACTTGCCCTCTGCTTCCCTTATTTTAATTCCATGAACTTCTTAGGGTCAGAAATTACGATGCTAAATGCATGTGAAGGATGCCTTACTCCTACTGAAGGCTAAAGGAAAATAGCACTCCCTGAATTTTTAGGGGGAGTTTTTCTAGAGCGTAATTCCCTAAAATCATCTGTGTAGATTATTAAACTCTTCAAAAGGGCATGATTATCCTGTATATACAACCCACCACAAATTAAGGTCCCTAGATTTTTTTGTTGTTGTTAGCATTCATTGCAGGTATTTCATAGAATGTGAATCAAAGTTCACTTACATTTAAAGTAGTTAAGCTGTTTTTCTGTTGTTGTTCTGACTGAACACAAAGCCCTCTTCATCACTGTGCCTTTCAGTTTCTGGGTAGGATTCCCAAACTGTCATACTTCTCAAAATTACTTGGTTTAGAGTATTGGCTTTGAAAACAATCTTTTGGTGAGTAAAAACCCTTAAATGCCAATTTTCTGAGAAAATATTTTGCCTAATTTTTAAATCTATATTATATATGGCTTTAATATATTTTGGTATAAGTTTAATAGCAAAATACTGATTGTGTGTTTTCCCATAGACTAGTAGACTGTAGTCTAGGTAGACTTGAAAAATACATCAGCTGCCTGCAAGCCAAAGATATTATTTCTCTCTGCTGAGAATAAATGTGAAAGTTATTTGGAGTTAGATCCTGGGAAGCACCACAGTTCCTGCCTAGTCGCTTGTTCCGTACCTCCATCCTCTCCAGCCACAAAGGAATGATTTTTTTAAAAATTCATATTAGCATGCTCTCCCCAAGAAAGGCACTAGATTCTGTTCAGCGATTTCTTTTCTGGCAATACAACCATACGTAAAAATCTGTTTTATACTGGAAGGGCAGTTTCACAGTGATATGGGAAAATGAATGCTTAAAACGTAGAGAAAATGATTTAAAATATTTCACTCCCCCAGGGCAGGCTTCCAACTACCCTGATAAGTAAATGTTTCGAACCTTGCTTATTGTCAGCATACCTGCTGGAACACAGCTCCTGAACCTATAAAAATATAACCTTACATAACTCTGTCAGTCTTCAGTATTCTTGTTGCACATAAAATTGTTAAGAGTTTTATGGGAACTACACAGTCTGCCAGAAAAACACAGGACAGCAGTCCAGATTCTTGGACTATGTGACACATTTATGTGAGGTGATGGCCAAGAAGGATTACAGAGTATTAAAAGTAAATCTATATGACATATTTTAGATAAAGCTATATACATTACTATAGGAAAGGAAATAGCTGTACAAATAACTTAGCAAAGCCAGCTAAAAGCTGCTGGGTATTCTGCCAAGGTTGTAATATAACCACAAGCATGTGCTGAACACTTCTTAGAGCTCTTAGAATAGAGAGCTGTTTTCTTTAGCCCGCTGAAAAAGTCCCAGTCTCTTGAAATAACAGAAACATAATTGAGTTAGAGAGACTCTTCTAGCTTTAGCAAAGCAGCTGGAAAGATTTCAGCTGATACCTGAATGCTACATTACTCTATCCATATTACCCATAATGTTTTCTAAACCTATTTTCCTCTAAAGAATAAATTAGCTGCCACTCTGACTCTCTGTGGATTTCTTCTATAGACAGTGAGATCCTATAGTTGAGAAAGCAACAGCTTCATAATTCTCGTGACCCAGATGCAAAGTGAATCAATGTCTCTTCCAGTCTTGCAGACTTGTCAGATCCTGCATGGGGCAGAGTGCTTTCAGAAAGGCGTTCACAGCCCTTGGCTAAAACGGACAGGCAAAAAGTCTTAGTCACCTTCTAAGATCAGATGCTAAATGAGGAAGCCTAACAGTAACTACAGCGTATTTCTTCATGACAGTGTAACTGGCTGTCTTACTTGGGTGCTATTGCAAGCTATTCTGAGCCTCAGCGGTATCTGGTGAAAGGATTTTGCTGTTCAAATTCACGCTAACCAGACCCTTGAGCGTACCACTTTCCCTCAGTTTGGTAATTCATCCTCTTTTTTAAAGAGGATGCAGGCTTAGTCTTGCAAGCTTTGTAGTCCTTGCCTTCCCTACATCCTTCCTGCACATCCAAAAGACAGGGCGTTCTATACAGTAGATGGGGAAAAAAAATCAGCTTGGCTTAGTGAACAATATTGTCTAATAGGGGTTAAAATGAGGTGGGGGCACAAGCAAGCCTGAACTACTGCAGTTGCACAGTCCTTTTCTGGCTTTGGGCAAGCTACAGAGAATAGGTATGCAGCAGATGAAGAGCAGGAGTAAATGGCAGCACAGCAGAAAAGTGGAAGTCAGGATGATCATGAAATGCCAGAAGCCATCGAGTTCCTCCCACAGTCAGTAAAGCCAGTGTGCAGACACAGCTCTGCTACAGCTTTGTGGTAACGCTTCTCACAATGTCCAGGCTAACCTGGATGCTCACATCTTGTTGGCAACAGCCACATTAAATCTGCGATGAAACCACTCGGTATGGGCTTTTAAAATACAATCAATTGTTCTCTTTTCCCCCTACCCCCAATATGTGATGACGGGCAGAACCATGGGATGCTTCAGTACATGCTTCTTCAGTGCTGCCTTCATTTGTAATCCGAATTTTTTAATGGTAAAAACTTTATGCTGTTATAATCAAAATTATTATTTCCCTCCAGATTCAATTTTGAACTTTTAAAGATCTAATACTGGTTATATCGGTAACTAACTTCAGAGTTTTTTAACCTTTTATTTAAGGCACGTGTGTATGATTCCAAATGCAATTTGTGTCTGCTTTTCAGCTTGTAAAATGGGCCACGCTAATTGCTGTAATCTCAGCAGCCCCTCAACAGCAGGAAGCAAGTTTATTTATGAGCATACACTGTATTTCACATCATACTCTTCTGGATAAAGTCAGTCACAGATTAAAGGTAACCTCTAACTTGACCCTAACAATGATGCAACATAAAGGTGCAGAAAGCAACTGTTGCAGCTTCACTGGTATCCTTCAGATAAAATGATTAAAATTACATCACTCGTTTGGTACAAGAGTCGTTTTAACCAAACACTGTAAACAGATCAATGTCTCCAGCTTTGCATCAGCATCTCTGTAGTAGCAGGAGTCTATTATCCTGCCAACACCTAGCCTGTAATGCAGTCTTTGAACTGAAGTTGTCTTTAGTGATCCCATCAACATGCAGAATACTTTATTTTTTTATGCTTTGTTACACCTTTTTTTTTTTTTTTTGTAAAGCCCATATTCTAGGCCTGAATGTCACAGGAGTTCTTAGTGAACTGTGCCTAAAAAATGGAGAGGGAATTTGGTGGGCCATTTTGGAGGGCTCAATTTGTGCAGATGTAAGGAAAAGTAATCTTTCATTCAAATCCCTTTCTCTGAGTCTGTGGATAAGGGCACATCCAGCCCTGGAGAGCTTAGTCCTAGTTGTTTAATGGCATTTGCTGTCCATGCATGCGATGTCTCTGCCCTACAGTTTCATTTCAGCATCGAAACATCAATTGTACCACATGCTTTCATGTGGTCATTTATAAATGTAACAACGCTTTCCTGTTGCTTTGTCAGCTTGCTGCTTGACATACTCCAGCTGCCCTGGCTGGCACAACACTGTTATTAGCACACTACGAGCAAACCTGCTGGATTTTTTGGTTTTGTTTGAAACTTTTTTTGCGTCTTAGTGCCAACAAATTTTGCTTTTCATTATCTACACCTCAAAGCTTTACTTTAGTCCATTTGATCTAACTAACTCTTGCTTTCTGCAGTGACTGGAAGGGTAGATGTTTGCTTTCAAGTGGGTTAATTTAGAACTATTATCTATGGAAGTCAATGAAAAGTTGCTTCTGACATTAGGCAAGGTCAGTTCTATTTCAGCCACTATTATCACATTACAGCAACCCTAAAAAGCTCCAGATAGCTGAGCTGCTCTGAGTTACTGAGTTCATTATTGCACTATGTAATCCCATGTAAAACACTGGCATTAACAACAAATAGCTCTTCATTGTCTTCAGCGCTGATTTTGTGATATTAAAAATTCTTACTGTGATTTTCCAAGTACATTTGCTGTTTGGAGGGTAGACTCCAGGAAATCCTTCACTCCCAATAAACCCTGACTCTCCAGATACAACTCCTCCACATGTAAATGTAGGCCTGAGAATAATAGGAAAAATAGTGCTTAATTTTTAAATATATTTCATTTGTTCTTTGTAAAATAGTAAAGAGGCGCAGACTATCTTAAAGACACAGCTTAAATACTTAAAAGCATTGCTAACTTTAAACATATGTTTCACTACTTGCATAATTTCACTATTGACATAGAATGTGCAATTTAACGCGCAGATTTAGGTGTAAAGGAAGTTAACTACTTGGACCTTAATTCTGGGTTTAGACAGACTGTTATCCTTCCCTCCTTTTTTAATTCCTGAGACGGCAAGTGTGGTGGTGTGAGACGTCATTGCAAACAGCTATTATAATGAAAAAATAATTATGACAAGTCATTAGTAATGACTTTTTTTAGTGTATCTAATAGGAGTTAAAACAGCACAGTAATAACAATAACGTCTAATTCCTTTCTATTCCACCTTGAAATTCTTTTAATTTAGATATTTTCATCGAGCAAGTCGCTTTGGAAGTTTTCCATACCGCAGGAACACCGTCCACCACGTGCGCGAGTCCTGCTACTCCAGTCTGGTGACGTCAGAATTTCGCGGGCGCGAGGACGTTCGGGGCTCAGCAGCTCAGGTGTCAGCAGCCCGCTCCGGCCGCCCCGGCCCGTGACGCGGGGACACGTGAGGAGCCCTGCAAAGCCCCTGTGCCAAACCCCGCCGAGGGCGACCGAACGCCCCGCTGGGCTTTCGACGATGCTGTACTGTACCACACCGTCACGGCGCGGGACGTTACGCAGCCTGTTACAGGGGCTGCTCTGGCAGGGGCCTGTGCCGGTGGAAGAAGCCCCCGT